TCATATGGAAAAAATTACTTTGTCTTCATTTAATTTATTAAATGTAATACAAATCTTATTTTATCTTTGTTTAGAAACTGTAGTTATTGTTCTGTTTTTCTATTTGTATATCAATTGACTAGCATTTTTTAAAGTAGTAGATAAGATGTACAGCACTTCTGTGAACATTTATATTTCATTTAATTTTAGAAAGAAATAAATAAAGCACACTTTTTTATTCCCAATATAAATAAGAAGAAAAGTAAGATTTAAATCAATAAATATAAATCTGTGACTATGAAACTAATTGAACTGCTAAATACATATTTAGTGTAAGTTGACTGATTCTAGGCTAAACTTTTTTAACCAATGTAGCCCTTGGCTTCACAATATGACAGATAGATACTATTTTAGTGGTTATTCAAGTAGAAGACATTTACAAATAGGCTATTTTATTTACTGCTGATAATACACTGCTACAGCTAACTCTAAACAGTTTTTAAAATGCCCCAAGTAATATAATTTGCAGAAAATATGAAACGCTAAAATAATATTAAATTTATATTGAGTGAATTTTATAATATCTGTGCAACATTGCATGGTATTTCTTGAATTAGGTGAAAACATATCCAATATCTTACATGTCATATTCAGTTTAAAATGATAAATATTTCATGACCTAAAGAAATATAAGTATTGCTGAAGCTGAACAGGGAGAAAGACAGTGTGTCATAGTGGTTTAGAAAAGTGACTCTGGCTTCCTACATTTAATTTGCAGCTCCATATGTTTCAGTTTCCTAGTTTGTAGAATGAGTAGGATAAAGACTATTTGCTTCACAGGCTCTAAAATGTTTGCAAAATACTTAGAAAATTCTCAGATACATAATACCTATGTCTTTTATAATAATACAAAGTGTTCAGATGTCAGTTGGGTAAACAGAAATTTAAAATATACTTTGCCACCTACCACATCCCTGTACTTAGAGTTTATATCATCTATTTTTCTTCTTTTAAGAATCTTGTTGTTAATAAGATTTTCATAAAAATACATAGAAAAATGCATAGGAAAGAAGTGCATCTTAGAATATTGGGAAAATAATATCTAATGTGTTTGAAAAATTATCTTGAGTCAAAAATTGTCCTATGACTGAAAAGATTAGTAATTTTTGGTACATTGCAACAAAAAGTAGAAAAAGTCCTACAATATTTGAAAATTACTAACAAATATTTAACAATTCTTATAAAGTATTATTTAAAAAGAAAAAAAGATCAACTGTAAAATACAAAATATTCTCAACAACAGAAAGCTCATACAAATGCACATACAAATGTAAACACATGTTCAAAGATACCGAAATGGAAGTTCCTAATAATTGAAATAATGATGAGCTCTGATTTTAATGAGTGATGTGCATGATTAAATAATCTAAGAAGCAATTAATTTTCTATAACATTAGTAAAATTTGAAATGATTTGATAGTATATCCTGTCAAGAAACTTGTGGTGAAATTGGTACATTCACATATTTCTAGGACAAATGCAAAACAATAGGAAGGTTGTTAAAGGAGATTTGACAATATCTTACAAGATGATATGAGATTTGTACTTTCAACCAGTAAAACTATTTGTAGAAGATGTTCCTAACACACATTCAAAATACAGTAGTAAATCAGGCATTGCTGTTAACAGGTTCCTCTTTGTATGTTTCTTTTGGCAAAAGAATAAAAACAACTCAAAGGTCCATGAATGGGTCTGTGAATGACAAAGCAGGTTGAAAACCTCCAGGTACTACTTCCCTGAACAGCAGTCAGCTCCCCTTTCTTATTTGCCAATCTAAATAGATAAACTAAATCATCTATGTGCTAATAGGAATAGATCTTTCAACATGTCCCCTTTAATCTTGGAAAAATATTCTTTCATTTCATTTTGTGTTTTATGATAACTTCCTATTGATCCAGTCCCTGAAAAAAAAACATAGCCAAATGTAGCATAACTTTAGTTGTTTTAAAACAATTAGCTAAGTAGATAAATTTCCAATGAATAATAATATGCTATTAAAGTTTTGGTTTATTTTAAATTCACAGAGTAATGTGGAATCCAACTATTTATTTTTTAAAGTATAGTTAATACTTTTTCATATCAAAAAGACAACATCTAAATGTAGTCACAAAACTCTATAATTAAATAGAATTTAGAATTAGTTTTGCTTGTTGATGTATTAGAGACTCAAAAAACTTTATAATTTTTCTACTCTTGTTCCCTCAACTATAATTTAGGAATGGCAGTAGTGACTGGTAAACCTAACACATGTTTTTTGTGAGAATTAAATGAACTCCTTTGAATGAAGTACTTAAAACTCTACCTCCAGAATAGTCAAAGATGAATATGTGATACGTATATTTCTGGTCCTTAATAAAACATCTGATATTGTGAAAACAAGCCCTTGAGTATAGCTCACTCTATCCAATTTTAGTCATCTAGAGTAATTTCTAACCTAAAGATCAAGTGGTAATTCAAGGTTTATTTTTTTAAAATAGTAACCAAAATTTGTTATTCAATATTTCCCTCAATATTGACTAGTAAACTTTTTTTTTTTATCTCTTGTTCCTTCTTAATTGCATTGCAAAAGTACTTCTGATACAATAGAACAAATTCAACTCCTTTTCAAAAAGACTTGTAACACTGTATGTTCACTGACTGTTCATTTTGAGCAAAGGGTAGAGATTGTTCAGCCTGTCAGTAGTAATTCAACAAATTTCTCACTGGCACTTTTACTCATTATCTCTGAAGATACATTACTAGATTCATTCATTAAATGAGCCAATGAGCTCAACAAATCCAGCAGGCTAATTAAAGCTTTGCAATTCCCCTTGTTATCACAAGAATTCTTGTGCTTTGAAGATTTCAGAAGCTAAACTACTGCCACACAGGGGTTTTGGTCATGATGGCACCAGGGGGATTTGGACATGCCTCACAGTCTGTCATGTTATTGGAAGAGTCTCTGTTGGCACTGGAGTCTACCAAAAAATCCCATTCCACCACGTTTCTGTCATTCTATCTCTAGATACTGGGTAGACATCAATATTCCTTGATGAAGTTTAAAAGCATTTTCCCGCACAGATTATTTGGAGTAGTATAATTTCCATTACAGACTTTAGTGGCACTCTGAGAATGTCCTGGCTCCCTAATTTTTCTATCCCCAGGGTAGGAGTGTTTATAAAATGAAGAAAAATACCTGAAGTTAGAGAATTTTCCTCTACTGCCAAAGATTAATAACATTATTTCCCAAAGGATTAGCCAAAGAGAGCAGCTCCTCTCCCTAGAAGCATTTAATGTAAATTTCAACTCTCTCTCACAATATGGCCACAGAGGGAAGAAAGAAACATAATAAAAAGCAACCAGAATTTACAAAGAGCTTAAAATATTGAAGTGGTCTCTGAATGTAACTTCCCCAAGAAGAAGAGCTAAAATTCTAACTTTCCAGTTTCTTAAAATCAGCTCTAAGAATAATATGTCAGACTTTAAAAAGTGTGATTAGTTTATTATTTCCTAAGTTCCCTTAGAACAAATTCTTCTTGAATTTCTGTCTACAGTCTGCATTTCTAGGTTTCAAGCAATTATTCAAACATAAAGGCTCAACTTTTTAAAATAGTTTTTAGAATGTGCTAATGTGTAATTTTATCAAAATATACCTAGAATATATAGCAATTCTACAAACTCTAAGACAGCAAATCTCTCTCTCTATTTAACACAGTTTGTACAATGGTGTTATGGGTTAGATTTTAAAATCACCAAGAGCTTATGAATTACAGACTTGGTCCCTGACTGCTAGTGCCATTGGAAGTGGTGGAAACTTTCAGGGAGGGATCCAGTTGGAGGAATTAAGCCATTGTTGACACGCCATTCAAAGACATGTTGGGATTCTCTCCTATTGCTTTTCAGCCATCGTGAAAAAAAATGGTATTGAAAAGTCAGGTTGTTGTGATAATACCTGATATTCTCATTCAGAAGCCCTTGGAATTGGTTTGCAGGTGCAGTCTGAAAAAGTTTGGTGAAGTAAGTTAGAAAAATTTAGAATTTTATAAATAGAGCTTAAATGGGCTTCTAAGGAAAGTTCAGAAGACCAGAATTTAGATTTAAGAAATAAATGCAAATGGCAAAGGCTAGGCTAATGAGGTTTTATATGAAAATGAAGTCTCTATGAGGAATTGGAGGAAAGGCCATTCATGTTATACTCTGGCAAAGAACTTGTCTACATTTTGTCCATAACCTGAGACTTGGTAGGGGTCTGAGTTTAAAGGGGATGAACTATTTTACCTGGGATTACAGCATTTTAGGCAGTGGCATGGGTGTTTCTGGCTGCCTTGGACCAGATTTACTTTGAAACGTGAGAACAAAAGCTCAGAAAGATTTGAAAAACTCTCAGTTTTGCTAGAAGAGGAGCTGTTTAAAGTGACAGTCAAGGAGGATACATTGCTTAAGATATTAGTAGCATTAAAATGAAGCCAGGTAATTTTCACTGGGAGAATAAGAAAAGACTCTTGAGTGCATCTTGGAAATCTGCATGACCTGACCTATTGAAGGCTTAAAGACTTTTGTTTGAAAAGACAACTACAAGGCATTCTGATTAAATTGGGACACCAGGGAAATACTTTTCTAGGATTCAGTTTCCCATGTTCACCCTTCCAAGCACTCAGAGGCTGCCATAGCAATGGTCTAGGCAAGCCTGGCTAATCCTTGTGTCAGAGGAAGGACTTGCAATTGTCTTCGTGATGTCAGTTTTGCAGAAGTAAACTGTTGGGAGCCGGCGACCGCACCCTGAAAATGGCGCTGGCTTCCTGCTTCTGATGACTCAGCGGTTAGAGTTGTTAGAAGTAAACAACTCCTTGTAAGGCTGTGGGGCTGGGCTCTAGCCTGCTTCCGCTGCGCTGTACCTATTAGACTCTTCCACTTAGTGCTGGTTCATTGGCAAGGCTGGGTACTTAAGCTAGGGCAGACCGACCGCTGGTGTGCGCGCTTTCTTCTCTTGTTCCTGTTTTCTCATCATGATTCAAAGGTCCTGAATAAACTGCTGAAAGAAGAATCCTGTGTCGTGTTTCCCTTGCTGGCGAGGGGTCGCGACAGTAAATAGTGCAATTGTTGTAGGGTAGTGAAAGCTTCTACCAGTATTTCAAAGGAAATCTTTGGAGGACATGTGTGTCAGGTCAGACTCTTTGCAAGCATCTCAGAGAAGGCAATATGAGAGGCTGTGAGTGTGAAGCCAAAGCCACATGGAGCCTCCAAAAAGTTAAAAGTACCAAAAACAAGGAATGCCTGCTAAGGGAAATCTCAGGCAGGGAGTAAAGACATTGGAGTTCATGTAATACCACCAGGTGCCCCATATGTAGGACATAGAACTATAGGATTTAATGGTTCAATCCTTCCCTTTCTATTCTTTTTTCCTTCCTAACAAAATGGGGATGTTTATCCTATTTCATTATACTTGGAAATTTATAATTTATTTTTTTTTTATTTTTACAGGTGCTCATAACCTAGAGTTTGCCTTGAATATAAGAAGTGATTTTGGACTTGGACTTCTGAACGATACTAGAAACATTAAGACTGTGGGGGACTCTTGGAGATGGACTGAAAGCATTTTTTACTGTAAGAAGTATATGACCCTTTGAGGCTCAGGGGTGGAATGTTGGATTTGGACTCTCAAATGTCATGTGTGGAAGGTCTTAGTTGATGGGAATTACTGGAAATTATGGAAACTTTAGATCTGGAGACTAGCTGAAGGAACTAGGTTGACCCCAACCGGTTCTGCCCACTCTGATTGCTTCCCAACCACAATAATATATGCAGTTTCCTCCATCATGCTATACTAGCTGACCACAGGCCACAGGCAATAAGGCCAGGTGACAATGGACCGAAAATGCTGAAACCATATGCAAAAATAAATATTGCCTCCATTTAAACTGATTTTCTCAGATAAATTTTCATAGCCAAGGAAAGCTAATACAAATAGTGTGAATGACATTTACCAAGATGTGTAATGATAATGATATGTGTATTTGTGTTAGTCAGGCTTCTGTCACTCTTTCAAAATACCTGAGATAATTAACTTATAAAACCAGAAGTTCATTTTAACTTACAGTTTCAGAGGTTCTAGTCAATGATCATATGGACCCATTTCTTTGAGCCTCTAAGAGACACATCAGATTACAATGAGGGAAAGCATTTGGTGAAAAAAAACTGCTTACTTCATAATCTAGGAAGCAAAGAAAGGAAGAGGAAGTGACAGAAGTCCCATAATACCACAATGATTTAAGGAACATGCAAACACCAGGCCCCATTTTCTAAATTTTCTATCACTTTTCCATTGTGACACCCTTGGTGCCAAGACTTTAATATATGCACCTTTGATTGTCATTTAACATCTAAACTAAAGTAGCATTCATAATGTCAATATTAGAACCTTCTTTATAGTTCTTTAGCACTGAGAGTGCCTAAATTTTAAGGATAAAGTTCTTGGAAACCTAACATTCATTTCCAAATGAATAATTTATAGATGATTTTATTTGGAAGTTGTCATGCATGTAAATATAAATAAGAAAAAATAAATGAGTTGTGAAATGTATAACAAGTCACATTTTAAAATCATATGCTATAAACTATAAATCTAAGTAATACTAAGACATGCAGATATTATTTCTGGAGGCAAAAATATATAGAAGTCCAATACTAATATAAATGCCTTTTAATTTTGTAAATAGTATTTTGTAGGTCATATGCCCAAGGAAATGTTTTATATTCCAAATACCAAGGCTACATTATAGAAATTACATTATTGATAGGGCTAGAAAAAATAGTTAATGCCAATGTGTTTCATTTTTCTCACCTGTGAATAAAATATTGATAATTTTTCTCTATTTTATAGGAATACTATCAAGATTGCATGAGTTAATATTAAGTGATATTACCAAGATTATATGTTATTATAAAGTGATATTATCAAGATTACATAAATTATTATAAAGGATTAAAAAAATCAGGGTATCCTATAACTTAAATTATTAAATGATTTGAATTAAACCTACGAATATAAAAATCAAAAGGAAACATAAGGTGCTTAGTTTATTTTTTTAAATAGCATAGTACTACTAAGTGTTACAGACAGGATAAAATGAAATTCTGAAAAATAGTCCCCTGTGAAACTAATTTGTATACTATCATCCATTGATTCATTTTAGAAAAGTGTACTTATATATGATCGTGTGGAACCATTGTTGTTTAGAAGTTGATATATAATTCTTTAATGTTGCAGTATTCTAGATTCTAGGTAAATTTGGGGCTACCAAAATTGAAAATGCATGAAAAATCTGTTCTAAAAAATATGTCTTTTAAAACAAGACCTTTATCCTCAGAATATTTGATATTTTAAAATATTTACTTGCAAATTTCTACTGTAAGGATTCTGGTTGCTCATGCTCATGAAGGACATATTTCAAATAGATTTACACTTCATTTTTCTGACTGCATCCCAGTTTCCATAGATGGTATGGCATGACTAACTGGCTTTTAAGTTATGTTTTCTTAGCTGCCAGATTGCTGTCTATAAACTTGATTGAGACAGATTCAGATTTGGATTCTGTCTGACTACACTAAACTCAAGAAATGAAACTAAACTGAAAATCACATTTCAACCTATTTCATTCCAGTGGGAACTTTCAATGCTATAGATATGTCTGTTCTAGCTACTTTCAGCTTCAACTAAAGCTTGCATTCACAACATCATTCTCTATGAAAAATCTTCTTTGTAGTCTGAGAACTTTCATGTCTCCAAAGAAACTGAATAGATATAATAAAAATTCACAAAAGTAATCTAAAACACAGACTCACCAAAGTTTTCTTAAAAATGTCAAGAAATAAATTTTGCAGAAAAAAAGATATTAAGAATAGGAACAATTTGAACATTTAAGGGTAATTTTACAAAGGTTCATGTAGACCAATTTATTGTTTTCCTAAATTTCATTGCTATTGTTTTACTAGCTGGTGGTATTTAATGTATATATTCTGGTGAAACAGATAATATATGGAATATGGCTAGTTGTTTTTAACAAGGATATTTATAAGGTGAATCTCAATGCAAGGTGACAGAAAATGCTATCTGTTAAGAGGTTTTCACCAATCCTGTAGTAAAAACTCTTGTATTCATGAATTTCCGTAAGATGGTTATAGTTTACGAATTTCTGATTTCTATCAAAAAGGATTTTATATGTCATCACCACAAAGAAATGATAAGTATTTGAGAAGTCACTTAAATACTATCATCCTGATTTAATCACTCCACACAGTATAAATGTATCATAGTATCACATTGTATACCCACAAGAAATGTGCAGATATTATTTCTCAATGAAAAATAAAATAAGGCTAAAACAACACAAAATTATTTAAGCAATTTCTTATAAAACTGACCATATTTTCAGAGTGCAACTATGGATATATTGTCTTATTCCTGTCTTCTTTCACATATTTTATGTATCATGTATACTTTTTAGTAGCTTTTTTTTAAAAATCAGTATGTCTTGTCTTACCTTATGTCAGTGTCCAAAGCACTCCCTAACTCTTTTTTAAGATACAGTGATTTTCATTGTTTAAGTACAACACAAATTGAACTGAATTTTCTATTGTTGCATGGTGGACCATTTCCTGTTATAAATGAGGCAAAGAAAAGATTTGTACTCAGATGCTTAAACACTGATGCAGTTATACCATCAGGGTGGATTTCCAAAAGTTGGTTGATGATTCAGTGGATAAATGCATTTGAAATAGTGGCAACTATTTCTGAAGTCATTTATCTTGCTGGTGACTTCATTTGTACTCAAACCAGTAAAAAATAGAATATATTTTCTTACAGCCTGGTCCACTGAATCTATTATTATTAATCTGATATCTATCATATTTATCTCTTATCATGAGGACTTTTGTACTAGGAAGCAATAGCTATGTTTTGTTAGCACTTGTATTTGTGATTAAAGTATTTCCAAGAACAACCTTCAGGACCATCTACATCTGCTTCATTTAGCTGTCAGTGTTGGGTTATAGCCTTGAAAAGCCCTTTTCTTTTATCCTCTATTCTCCTCCCCGCAAAAATCTCCTTAATTTTTCCATTTCCACAAGAAAGGCTTCCTAGGAGAGTGGTTTCAAATTAAGTCTACATAAGAATTGTCTGGAAATCTCAACATGTAGAATCCCACAATTTCTATACCAATTAACCTGGACAGACACTGGCAATCATAGTTTTCTGCAAACAAACTGATGATTAATTTTCAGGTTTTCCATAAACCTCACCTTGATACATACTGCTTTGGGGAAAATAGTTTTATTAGCTACTGATTCTGTAGTATTGAAAAATGATATTTAAATAAACAGTTTTAACTTCTCACTTTTTGTTTTTAATTTATAAAGTGTTTATTAGTACATTGCAATTAAACATACTGGCAGAGTTTTTTTTTCCCTATCATACATGCATGAAAAATAATTTGCTCCATTTCAATCCCCAGTACTTCTGTTTTCTCTCCCCTATCCCAACCCCCATTCTGCTACTTTACTAGTTTTTCTTTATTTTCATGTGATCTTCTCTGCCCCTTAATTAGCTCTAGCTTTAACATATGGGAAAAAGCATTCAACCTTTGACCTTTAGGAGTCCAGTTTAGTTCACTTAGGGTGATGTTCTCCAGTTTCATTTATTTATCAGCAAATGACATAATTTCATTCTTCTTTATGGTTGAGTGAAACTCCATTGTGTGTGTGTGTGTGTGTGTGCGTGTATAAAATATTTTCTTTATCCATTCATTTGTTGATGGACACAGATTGGTTCCATATATTGGTGATTATGAATTTCGCTGATATAGACATTGATATGTCTGTATGCTGATTTTTTGTCTTTTGAATAAATACCAAGGAATGTGATAGATATGTTATATGGTAGTTCTTCCATACTTTTGAGGAATCAAAAGCATACTGTTTTCCAAAGTAGCTGCCCTAAATTGCAATCCCACCAACATAGTATAAGTGCATCTTTTCCTACACATACTCACTGGAATTTATTCTTATTTGTAGTCTTCATGTTTGCCATTATAACTGAAGTGAGATAAAATCTTAGGATACTTTTGATTTGCATTTCCCCAATTTCTAGGAAGTTTAAGATGTTTTCGTATATTTTCTGGTAATTTGTGTTTCTTCTCTAGAGAAACATCTGTTTTGTTATTTTGCTCATTTATGTATAGGGTTTTTTTTTTAACTTTGTTTTGAGTTCTTTATATATTCTGGATATTATTGTCCTATCAGAGGAGTAGTTAGCAAAGTGTTTCTCTCATTCTGTATGTTTTCTTTGAATGCTCTTAAATGTTTCATTTGGTGTGTGCATGCACAGGAGCTTTTTAAATTGCTATTTCACTTACTGTTTCCTGGTTTTATTTCTTGAGCTTTAGGGGTGTTGTTAAGGAAATCAGTACATGCACTGATAGAGTGTTGACCGTAAGTTTTCTTTTAGCAGTTACAAAATTTCTCATCTAATTCCCAGGTCTTTGATCCACCTTGATTTGACTTTTTCAAGGAAAGATATAGGAATCCAGCTTTATTTTTCTACATAGGGACATTAAGTTTTCCCAGCATAATTGGTTGAAAATATTATCTTTTTCTTCAAGTATGGTTTTGGCAACTTTGTAAAGTATCAGATGTTTCTATCTCTGTAGATTTATTTCTGTGTCTTCTTTGCCATTCCATTGGTCTTCATGTCTGCTTTGATGCCTAAACCATTCTTTTTTTTTATTACTATAGCTCTGAAGTATAATTTGAGATCGGGTATTGCAATGCCTTTACTAATGCTCATCTTGCTCAGCACTCCTTTGGGAAGTCAGGATTGGATTTTTTATTCTTCTATATGAATTTGAAAATTGCTTTATCTAGT